AGCCCCTCCATCTTGAGACCCGAAGTTAGACTCGATCTGGGCCCTCCATTTAAAATCCTCTTCACAATAATTTCGAACCTTGGGCATTACACGGACAAAACTTCCCCTCAGCCTCTAAAGATCTTAAAAGTCTAAGATTTTTCCAACTATAGCTTCCAATCAATCAAGCCAATCTTCTAAACTTGGAACGTCAAATTTAGGTAAATTAGTGAAATCTTTCACTCTTTGTCTTGATTGATTGAGAGAATCTCTCACAAAACTGTCTTGATAGCCCATTCTCTTAATCAATCTCCCTCCATAAAGAATTTAAACATCARCCATTGATCTCCCTTGTCTCCCATCTCAGCCTTCCATAGGGCTGTTCATAAGAAGGCCCAACCCAACCAAACCGACCAACCCGGACCGACCCAATCCGAGTCAGCCAGGTTTTCATCAGCACCGGTCGGTTTCAGGTTGTACAAATTCATAAACCGATGGTTCGGGTCGACTTCAATTTTCTTGTGTAAAAACCAAAACCGACCCGACCTRAACCGACTTAGTTCCTACTTAACTAAAAACTGAAATATCTGAAAATATATATTCCAATATCTATCTCTAAAAAATATATATTATGAAATATGTCAGATATATATTTCGAGAAAATATATATTCCAATATATTTCTAAAATACATATTTCAGTTTTAAATATATTTCCAGAAAACTAGGTGGCCATGGGGGGCATGGATGAACTTAGAGCCAAAACCGACCCAACCCGACTCAAACCGACCAAGTCGGTTTTGCTTAACACTAGGTCGGTTTCGGTTTCCATCTCAGGTAACCCRACTAGGTCGGGTTGGTTGGAAAAATCTCAGTAAACCGACCCAACCCAACCTGTGAACAGCCCTAGCCTTCCATTCCCCTCTAAAAAAATCTATAAATACCACACATTTCTTACATCCTCGACACACAATCTAACCTAGACACAAGCTAGCTTAGGGAGAGAGCTCAACTCCCACAGCCATTATCCACGTCCCAAAGCCTCCCCATTAACTCTCCAGCATCCCTAGAGTCTCTCCATATCAGTGCTTCAATCTAAGAGCTCCCCAAGTCATGCATACATCCAAGAGAAGAAGCTGAAAGCATCCTTGAAGTAACAATTATGCAACATAAATGATATTCCATCCAGTAGTGTTTCCACACGTCTTGGTCTATATAACCAATGTCTTTGACCTCCCAAATGACCGAGAATTCATCTCCAATCTAAGGAGTTTCACAAGGATTTCAAATGCCTTGTGAAGAAGCATATCAAGGGCAACTATGAAGGTCATGTTGCTAATAGAAAGACTGACAAAAGGTGACTCCTGCTTCATGACCCATAAGGTTTGACGTTCCCTTTTTTTCTTCCTTTTTATGTTGTAGGCTTTCTATTTTCATGTTTCTTAGTTTCTGTCCAAGCAGTTAGCATTTCTTTGTTGTCTTAAATAAGTATGCCATCATTTTTTTTCTACTCTTATTAGCATCATGTCATTTTTCATCTCACTTGCTTAGTTGGCACCGCTTCTTGCATTTAGATTTTCTTATTTCAGCCTCACAATTGGTAGAATAGTTAGGATTGTTGGATTTGATCACCTCATGTTTTGCAATAACTTTTTTGATTAATTGCATTTTGCATTAAACTTTTAATTTCATAAGCAATTCATCAATTAGTCGTTCTTTTGCATTTCTGCTCTCGTAGATTTTATTTTTCTTTCTAGTTTTCTTTGTCTTAGCATCATTCTCTCTCACCGTCTTTTATTTTGCATGATAAGCAATAGTGTATAATAGGTTTCATTTTACTTGCTTTCCGTACATGGCCATTTGATTTAGTTTTACACTTTCATTTAGTTGTATGCGTTTTATTAGGAACTGCCAATACGAAGTTGTGTCATCATGGTAGGTCAATGTTTTCTAGATCATCCATATTAGCCATTAGTCAAGCTCATCAATTCAGTTTTCTAGATCTTGATTATATATGTTTGAAATGCCATCATCACCATCAAGTCCTTCGGGAATTGCCCACGCAAAATAATCACACCACTTATTATCTGATTTGTTTGCCTACATAGATACAACATACTAGTCATCAAATATTTCAATTGTCATTATTAACATACATAGAACATGAAAATGTGTTATATCACTTACAACCTTTTCCGGGACAAGTGTAAAACAACTTGTGCCGATTTTGAGGTGTTTTTGATACTCGAATTATACAACTCCTTCCAAAATCACAAATCATTGGATTATATTTAAAGTCCTTGTACGATGGATTATCACACAYAGACTGATAACTCATACCTTTGCACAATAGTGTAAAAAGAATTATAATCTAAATGTACRATAATACTTGGGGATTCTTCAGTTCTAAAATGTCATAAGCTTAAGGATTGTTGAATATCTAAAGGACTATTGAGTGTGGCATATTCTTGCTGGAAGAAAAAAAAATGGGGAATTTGCATAAAGTTGTAGGAACATCCTTGGATATAAACAAAAATTGGTAGAATTTTCCTTACCAAATAGAGACATAAAAATAAATCATATGACTACAAAATTTCTTATCTATATATGTTTTTTTATTTAAAGAAAATCATACACATATAAACATATAGAAAAGTCCTAGTCCTACAAATTCTCAAACATACAAAAAGGTAGTTGTGTCATTTGATATTAAGTACATGGGTCAACTACTCTATGAAGGTAGTTCTTTATACCCTCTCTTGTTCTTTTGTTCAAGTGAATCAATTAAGTCGAGGGGCTGATTTTTGCTCTGTTCGAGACACATCTTATCACTTCTCTTTCCTTTTCTCCTATTTTCTTCTATCTCCTCCTGAAACCAATATTCAAAATAAAAACTTGTAATTTTGGCATGTAAACCCCAAGGCTAACCCTCATGAATTAAAGTTGATTGGGTCATAAAGCACTTGAAAACATCATATTGATGTAATGCTGATGAATTCCAACAAAATTATACAGCTAATTCCAATCAACAGTTCTGAAGTCTTCAGAATTATGCATCACATGTCAAATAGATCACCAAGTTCTAAATATCACTGGGTATAGTCATCTATTGCTTCGTTTACTTAAGGTTCAGTTTTACCTAATGCATATTTGAGCAACCAATAAGAAAAAGATACATGGAAGAGAAGGCAACAATCATACTTGTTCATCCTTCAAATCGGATCTACCATCGGAGAAGAAGAGAAGAAGAATAATGGTAGTCRACCATACCACCCGAGCTATTTGTTGAAGAAGAAGTATGGAGAGTCGAAGAAGAAGATGAGAAGAAGAAGAATGGAGAGTCGAAGAAGAAGAGAAGAATGATACATCACCATTGGATGCGGGTTTGTTGTATGGGTAGGGTTCAGTGGAAAGAAATGGAAGAAAGAATAAGAAGAAATCCAAAATGGGGCTTTTTGCTTGGGTTCCAAACCGGTTTGTGTTCACACGAACTAGTYTGTGTTTGTGTGAATCGAACCAGACCACGTTAACGCTCAAATGTGCATTAACGTTGGCCTAGTCGACGTGTCGTTTAGTCATTCATGGGTTAGTGCACCCACGAGTGCACAAAATGCGAGCTCCTTCTAAAGGAGTTATTAATACAATTAGATCTATTTTTCAAGTGCATGTAGATGATTTAGACTATGATGAGTACAAGCATTATTATTTGAGATGTGAGAAATTGAAGCAGTTGGTTCGGAGGTTGAGAGCTGATAACTTTGAGTCGAAGCAGTAGATAGCGAGGTTAAGGGATGCTTCTGAGCCTATTATTGGTAGCATTCTTTTTTATAAACTATCAAGATGTTTGGTATGGCTTCCGTTTATTTATTAAATGGTGCCATGTTATTGTCAAATCATCATTTGTCCCATCATTTTATTTCGTACACATATTTATTGACATATTTCTATCTTCATTTACGCGCATGCTAAACATTGGGGAAAGCTTCATTTTAATGCTTCCCCCAATGCAACATCATTTATTTATTGTTCCGTTGATGTGGTGCCTAATGGTGCCTAATGACATTTAGTTATTAACAAATCCTAGAAAAACTTTTATCAATAATTTTTTCTTAGTTTTGAAGACAAATCAAATACGAATGCTTATTTAATAAATGGAAGCCATGCCAAATGTATAGGTACTTCAATTTTATTGTTGTATTTTATTCATTAGGCTCAATTTAGAAAGAATAAAAATGCAAATATATACAATAAAATACATAATAAATAATATAAAATATAAGATTTTGTACTCTTTGTACTCCTTCCCAACTAAGCATTAGCATTTACATTTTTTTTTTTTTTTTACTTCCCGCGGTGGCTCCATTTGCATCTCTTTATTATATTACTATTTTATTTAACCATTTTTCCGCCCCTGCGAAGCAGGGCTACTCGCTACTTATTACGATAAGGAAAAGGCATGATATCTAATATCCGATAACCAACCGATCCATTGGTGTCGTAGAAGTGGCAACCAATCAGGCAATCGACTGAAATTCATCGGTGGCCTGATTGGTCAAAGTTCTTCGGGTATCATACCCTTCCGGCATGGTAAGAATAATTGCCTAAAGCACAGGTGGCACAAAACACTATCCGTTTACCAGCAGAAATAGTAGATGTCAGTATGTCACCAAACAATTAACAAAAGCAAAACCCGTAAGCGATACGTAAAACAGGCGTTGACAAGCTACACCGTAAAACTGGAATAATATATTAATATAGGGGGATAACGATGACGTGGAGCCATCGACAAAGTTGGATATACCCAAAAAAATCTAATTAGATGAACGGACAGGATGAGTTACATCACCATCCACGCTCACGACTCAGCTCTTTCCACGTGTTGGGAATCATCGAAGATATAATACGTACAAGAATTAATATAAAAGTAAAACGCCGCAAATCCTGAGTCCCGAACCCGTCGGGCGTCAGTTGTCAGAACCAAAACTACCATCTCGCGAGCCGGCAGGTCCTTGCGCCAGACCTAATTACGTAATATTTTATCCGAAATACCCCTATTCCAGATGTATTACCGGAAGTACCCCTGTACGAATACTAGAGAAAAATCAATCCGACCCCACGTTCCATAAGTACCTGCCGCTTCACGTTATACGTTTCTCCCTCTCTATGGTTTTGTCCCCTTTTCAGAAAATATTGAAAATGCAATAAACCCTCCCCCCCTACTTCTCTCTCTATCTGACTGCCGCGTCGATTGGCTTTCATTTCGAACCCTAGAAATCTACAGGTAAGTCCCGTGCTCGAACTTAAGAGTTAAAACACTTGTAGAGCTGTTCCAACTATTTTCAATTTTGTTTCATTACAATTCATGTTGAATAATCTCTGTATCCGATGTAGTTTATATACATGACTTTTTTGTTTATGTTTCCCTTCATGCTTTAGGTAGGGCCGGAAGTTGTAATTGCAGGGTCGAGTATGCTGGTGATTTGTGGTTTTGATTTTTTGGAGCGTAGTAGAGCCTTTATTTTATATGATTATTGCTCTGCTAATTGAATTGTCTTGAGTCGTTTCATTGTTGGTTGCTTTGGTTTCGCCTGTTGAAGTGGTTGAGATAAGTTGTGTGTGTGTTTTGAACATTTGATGATGTTCAGAAACGGGAGGCGGAGGAGAAATGAATAGTGGATGCTGGGAAGTCAAGGTGAAGGTCATCTGGGTTGTACTTAATTTGGGTAGTGTTTAATGGTATTGTTAGTTGTACCACCAATGACATTCATTAACTTATTTTAAAGTTGGCTTATTATGTCCCTAAAGAAGGAAAAAAGAAGGAACTATTTCCTGACATTGACACTACAAAAAATGATACATATCCCATGGTATGATTGTATCAATAGTTTGCTTATGTCTAAAATGGAAATTGAGGCATGGAAATATGGTATATGTTGCCACATTTTTTCTCTATTGGAAAAAAATTAGTTGAGGCTGACAAATTAGTTGGACTTGGCCTTTCATTTCCTTACACTCAAGAGTTTTAGTAGATAGACAGTATTGTTAGTGAGATGAGTTTAAAAGAATAGCTAATTTTCTTGGTAAAGACACTAAGACATGACATTTTTTTCCTTGATTGGTAACTTCCAATATTATTAAAATTATAAAAGAATAATATGATACAAAGATTGGGTATTTTTCATCCCACCCCTTGATTCTTTTCAGCATATTCTAATTACATTGCCTGATTTGTAACCCCCAAAAAACAGTTGATTGTGGTTTGCCCCTTGCCTAGCCAAGGGTCTGCTAATGCATTTGCTGATCGGTGACTCTACAAAGTAGATGCTCCCAGCTCTCTAATTAGACTCCTTACCTCTTTCATAGGGTTCCTTGCTGCCAAGTTCCTAATGCATCATTATGATACCAGCCTATAACCACCACTGAATTGCCTTCCACTACAAAAGTGCTGTAATTTGAGTGCCATAATGATTCCATAGACTCCTATACCTGATCTGCCTGGATTTCCAAAGCTGAAACCACCAAATTTGAGTTTTGTCTGGAATATATGTGTAGGAGTTTGCTTGCATAATCTAGGCATCCTTATTGTTGTTGGGGTAAACCAAATTTTCATCCTATAATGATGCTATTGACTCAGAAGTTACCAATCAAACTTCTTGTCGTGGAGGCAACCCAACTCTAGACAAAAAACATCTTCTGTTCTTGCACCTTGGTGCAGTGGACATTGAGACTTATTTAGTGCTGTTTAATATTGTTTAAGGGTGTTTGGAGGGGTAAGGTGGTCTAGAACCTTTGAAAGTGGTGGCTTAGGTTAGATTGTTTGGTTTGGGGTTTTTGAAAGCTGGTATTGGCTGAGTAACTGTTGCACAAGTTTAGGCACTTCAGCACGAGAGCACATAAGGTAAATCCAGGTATATCGTGATAAATCATCAATAAATAGGATGAAATATCTATAGCCACCCATACATGGTAAATGGTAAAGCCCATGCACATCAGAGTGAACAATATTAAAAGGAATAGTCGATCTTTTATTTTTTTGAAGGATAAGTGTTCTTACAATGCTTTGAAAACTCACAAGACTCACAATGTAGACTTGATAGATTGATTCCTTTAAATAATTCTAGAAACAAATGTCTCAATGAAGACAAGGACAAATGACCGAGGCGACTATGACATAACACAATACGACTAGTGGACTCTAAAACATATGCAGTTCTCTTAAGTTTTACTTGGCTTTACTTTGGCATGTCTAATAGATAGATCCCATTCGCCTCATAGCCACTCCCAATCATCTTCTAAGATTTCATGTCTTGAAAAACACAATATGAAGGGAAAAAGGTCACATTATAATTCATGGATTTAGTTAAATTACTAACTAAAAGCAAATTGGTATTAAGTTTAGGTACATGAAGAAACAGATGAGGTCGTGGCATGGGAGGTCTTAATGTTTCCTTTTCCCATGATAGGGGCAAGAGAACCATCAACAAGGGATATCTTATCCCARCTAGAAAGGAGTTGGTAAGAGGTGAATAACTGTGAAACATTGGTCATATGGTAAGAAGCACCAAAATCAATTATGCACGGGGTTTTATGAGTACCTGAGATAGAAGTATGATGTGTAGTGGCACAAATACCTGAGCATATGTAGAGGAAGGAACAATCTTTGAAGCTTTAGCAGTGGACTCCAAATGACTCATTATTCAGACATACTCCTCATACTCAGCCCTGGCGGTTGCAAGCTGTTCTCCCACAAACTTCTCTCTACCCTGTTCTTGTTCACCTTATGAGGAGGTGTTTTTAGTGTGTTTAGGCTTCTTGTAGTATTCATAGATAACATCTTTTATCCTAGTGTTAACGTTTGGTTTCATCTTGACATTGGCATAGTGATCAACCTGCGACTTGACAGACTAAACCTGTCTTCTACTCTCCTCATTGCTCACCATAGCATACACCTGAAACAAATTTACCTCATCCTTTGCTAAAACATTTTGCCTCACAATATCATACTTAGGGTTGAGTCCGGTAAGGAACTCAAAGACTTGATTTCACTCCACCAACTTCTTATACGTTTCTACATCCTATGTATAACCTCAAACAACAGTTTCCATCAGATCAATCTGTTGCCAAAGAGATTTCAACATAGAGAAGTAGATGACTAAAGGACTTCTCCCTTGTCTTAGATTATTCACATCATTCTTTAATTTGTAGGCCCGTGCAACATTAAACTTTTGGGAATAGGTCTCCGTGACACTATCCCACACTTTGTCGTTTCCACCCACAGGTAATGTTGACTAATGTGTGGTTGCATAGAATTCACTAACCAATCTACTACTGTGTAGTTTTCTTGCATCCACCTTTCATAGGTAGGATCCTCCTCCAGTTTCTTCTTGCTCTTGGTAACGTAACCCCATTTCCCTCTACTACACATGTCTCTTAATAGATTGAGACCAAGCTAAATAATTGGTCCCATCTAAGTTCACAGTAACCACAACTTCAAAAAGATTCTCCATTGACCCCCCATGTCCAAACCTGGAATTTGTGGAATATTTGTTCTCTCCTCTAGTTTGCTCCATTGAGTAAACAGATGCAAACGAAATCAAATTAGGGTTTTTGTAGGCTAGAATTACCGTTCTTAGCAAAGAACAACCCTTTAACACCCAAAAAATAGGGTTTTACAGGACCTGACAGGATGAGGAGAAAGAGAGGAACTTCAACCGCTCCTACAAGAGGTTCTAGAACTCAGTCCAACCAAAACCACCCTTAAKGGAAATAAAAAATCTTACCTCTGATCCCCAAGTGTCTGGTGCAAAATGTCTCTACGACATGTAACAAGATTTTTTCAGTTATCTACGGTTTTCAGGAAAAATCTCCAAGAACCTTCCTTGGGCTTCAACTAAGGATTAAAACCTCCACAAAAACTCCCCAAAAACCCTTCTAACTGGGCTGCATAAGTTGTTGATTGATCAACTGATCAGTTCTCCATACACACTATTTATGGGCAAAGAAAAGAGAAAGAAGTCGAAAAATGAAAACCTGCTCTGATACCAAGTTGAGAAATACACCTGCAGTAATTTAGAAAATATAGGAAAAGAAAGAAAGGAAGGAAGAGAAAAAAGAATAAAGAGGTTTTCAACAGTAGGTTGTGGAAGAAGAGAAGGGAAGAGAGAAAGGAGAGTTCGAACCTTTTTCTCTAGCCCCCTTGATCTCTTTTACTAACTTAATTCTAAAATTAAGTACAATTACTTGGATGCCCTTAATGAGGTGGCTAACACTAAATAGATAATTAAAGAGAACAAAAAAAAGCCCATAACCAACAAACTTAAACATAAACACTACTTAAAAGAAGTAAAAAACACTAAGGCCCATTTTGACCCATTCTCACTACAGTGTGCAAGATAGACTTAGAGAAGGCCTATGATTTGGTGGATTGGACATTTTTGATTAAGGTGATGAAAAATTGTGGCTTTGGGGAGAGGTGGTGTAATTAGGTTTTTGGGAGTTTAGAATCAAGTCACTATTTTGTTGTTGTAAATGGGATGGTTAAAGGCTTTGTTCGGCTTGTAGAGGTTTGAGGCAAGGGGAACCTTATCAGCTTTCCACTTCACTCTTGTAGCAAATGTCTTTAGTAGGTTAATCTCAAAGGCTGATAGGGAGGAGGAGATTAATGGTTGGAAAGTAGGCAGGAATAGGATATCAGTTACTCACCTTTAGTTTGCTGATATATATAGGAAGAGAGCAGAATTTGGTAGGGAGTTTGAAGGAGTTGGTTAGGAAATTTGAAGCTGTCTCTAATCTAAAGATTAATTTTGAGAAAGGTTTGATATGGAGGAAGGAGAGGTAAATGTAGTAGAACCATTCTAGAGTATTTCATCTCTAGTTGGCCTTCGATTTATTTGGGTCTCTTCCTAGGAGCAAACCCCATGGAAAATAGGATATGGAACCCTATTTTGGAAGAGGAATTACATCTCTTTAGGAGGCAAGATCATGCTAATAAAATCTCTGTTGTAAAATTTTGCCAATCTATTATCTTTCAGTCTTTAAGATCCCCTCAAAAGAAGGTAAAAAAGGTTGTGAAACTAATGTTTTTTTTTTTCCTTTTTTATAGAGCTAGGTGAAGAAAACAAAGACCATTTAGTAAGGTGGTAGATAGTTTGCCTAAGTATTCAAGAAGGCGGGTTGGGGGTTGTTAATGTTGATAGGAAGAATGTGGCTTTACTAGGAAAATGGTTATGGAGGTGGCCATTGGAGAGGGAGAGGTCGTGGCATGAGGTAGTGTCTAGTATA